GCATTTACGCCTCCAATCCCCCCTGCTTTCCCCCCCTCGCCCGCCATAGAGGGGCGACTTCAGAGCCCAGAGTGCGCAGTTGTACGGTTAACCCCATTGGCCATGAGCAGCGCCATCTTGCCACTCCCTGCCCCGCGGCCAGGCTTCTACCCTAAATAAGGTCGATCGTCGTTGGGTTTTTTACCCCCGTCTGCTGCCTCAGTTTCCTCCCAAGTGCCGAGGCCAGCGGGCAGCCCTCCCCCCAAACAGCAACGCTATACTAAGGAGCTAAGCCGGCCATGGGCGCCGCCATTTTGGAGACAGGCTCCGCCCCCTCCCGGCCTCTCCACCCCACACTCCTACCCCCTCCCGGGATTTTACCCTTCTATCGCCCTCACTCTCCCTGCCGCTTGTTGTGCCGGGTTGCCCCCCTCCCCCGACTTTACCTCTTCGCTTCCCTGTCCTGTGCTGAACCACTGTACGGCCCACCCGGAATCATATGGGGGCCGCCATCTTGGCGCGACTAGCTCCCCCCTCGGGACCTCCCTAAACTTCCTCCCCTCCCCCACCCCGCTCCCGCGCTCTTGTCCTCTGAAATCTCCCGCCCAGCTCTGAGGATCTGCCTCCACTGACGTCATGAGGGGAGGGAAGCGGGATGGACAGCAGGCTGGCGCAGGCACCGGCACCGACATCTTGGCGTCGGGCAACCGCGGGCGGAGGCTCCTGTCCTCCAAGTGCTTCCTTCTGCCCCGTGTCACGTGCTTCAAATATGAGTGAATCTAGTTTTGACATTCCCCAAATGCCTGTATGTGCATGCCCCATGGCAAGTAGGAACCCAGATGGCCTCAGCAAATGCCAGGATGAAATACCCCAGCCCGTGGGGCAGCGCCCAGATGTCATGGTCCGAGCCGGCGTCTGGCTGCCCCTGGTCCAATTACCCGGATGCGAGCCCGAGCCACAAGAATCCAAGATGGCGGAGCGCGGGCAAGCCCGGATATCGACAAGATGGTGGCGCACTGGTGGCGTTGCCTCAGGGAGGTGTCCAAGATGGCGGCCCCCTCCGAGACAGACAAGCCAAGATGGCCTTCCTCTATGGGCCGCAAACAAGATGGCGGCCGCAGCCGAGTTCCCGCCCCGGATGCTGCGCCTTGGGTGGAAAGTAAGATGGCGGCGGCGGGCCCCCAAATCCCCGGATGGCGCAAGGGGGAGGAGGGCTTCCAAGATGGCGGCCCGAAAGTTTAGCTGTGGCCGTTTTTCCAAGATGGCGGACGCCACGGCCCCGGATGAGCCGGCTCAAATTGGCTCCCTGTTGTTTACAAGCTGAAAAAAGATCCGCGCGGCATGTCTCGTCCGATGGCGGAGCTGCAGTCGCTCCTTTCCCGCCTGAAAAGGAGGCCCCTGTGCTTGGAAAATCCGCTACATTCCGCGCCTCTTGTGGGCCGCCATTTTGAACCCTTCTTTTCAACCAGGCTCAAAGATGGCGTTGCCCAGTGCCCGGATGTTGGCGGTAGCAGCATTTGCTTTCCTCATGCGCATGTGCCGGCACCCTGTCGACTTTGAATGTGCGCATGCGCCCTTGCTTTGTATTTTGAATAGGGCGCATGTGCATTACCCCCGAACCAAGCACTATTGCGCATCTAGGCGTGGTGGGCGCTGCTCCACGCCTCATTTTATCAGTGGCTACTGTTCAGTTTGTTTGGGTGTATAGCCGGTCTCCGCCCCCTTCCTTTAACGGTCGTTTTAAAATTTCTGGGTGTTGCATCAGCTTGTACCTCCCCCACCGGACACTGTCTAAATCGACCCCCAAAATATATAAAAATATTAAACTAACTCCACTTTATCACGTTTTGCTACAAAGTACTACAATGTTTATTCCACCCTTTTTATGCATATTTTTAAATTTCAGTTTGTGGGTATTTATGTCCAGGCACCAAGATGTCAGCTGGGTTCACCTCAGGGCCAAGATGGCTTGCAGGTGTTGCTCGGTGCTTCATGGCGTTGCTCATGCAAGCACCAAGCTACCTGCTGGGTTTGCTGTGTTACTTAGATGGCAGCTGTGCTCGGGCCAAGATAGCCGCTGTGCTAATACCAGCCTTTGCATCCATGCCATGATGGCAACCACTCTCACACTAGTGCCAAGATGGTGGCTAAAAGAAATGCAAAACTCTAGAATTTTTGGTTCCAAGATGATGGCCCACATTGGCACCATGCCAAGATGGCAGCTGTGGTTGTTGCAGTGGGTTCATCTAGGCCCCGAGATGGTGGCCATACTGCTGTCAAGCCCACTGCTGCTCCAGACCCCCTGGATCAACTCCTTGGGGGAGTGGGATGCTCAAGGGGGTGGATGACTGGGAGGCATATTTGGGGAGGGGAGTCCAAAAATGGCAAGAATTTAGGGAAACTATAGATGGTATCCAGAAGTGGTAGGAATTTGGGGGAGCTACAGGTGGAGTCGGGGGTGTAGGCACCAGGAAGCAGGGAAGGGATGCTTAGAGGTTGCAGTGCATGAAAGGGGGAAACCAGAGCTGGGTGGTAAGAGCTTGGTGTACAAGTGGGGGTAATATGGATAAATGGGATACACTGGCCTCAGGTGCCATGCTTATTCCCCACATGAAATCCCCTCTTCTCACAGCAACTGACCCTGGGGGATTGGGTTGGGTGTATGAGGTTGTGGGTCAAAAGTGGGCATTTATGGGGCTGAGGACTTTGGGTAAGATGCAAGAAGCACCAGCAGGGCTGGAGAAGAGGGGACAGGGGGCTGTGAGTCAGGAATGAGGGGCAGCAGCAGGACTGGGGCTGTGGGTCAGGAGGGAGGGGCATCAGGAGGACTGCGGGCTCCAGGCCTGGAGTGAGGGGTATCACTGGGGTTGGGGGCTGCAGATCAGGAGCAAGGCTGGGGGAGGCAGGTGAGGCTGAAGGACAGCAGAGTGTCTGGTGGGGAAGGGGCTGTGGGTCAGGAGCAAGGCTAGAGTCCCGGGCTAGAGGCTGCAGTTCAAGAGGGAGGGGCATCACTGGGGGCAGTGGGGTGGACAAAGCTCTGCTCAGTTCCCTAGCAGGGCAGGGGTTAACTACTGTACTAGGCAGGGAAGGAGAGGACCTGTCCCAGCCAATGGCATGACAACTCCCTGGGGTCTCGCTCTCTCTCCTTGCACAGGTGGTGGAGACCACTCCTCTTTGGCACACCAGGGTACCATGTGCCCCAGGGACCACAGGGCTGTCTGCCACATGGTTGCTGAGGTTGTCCTGTGGGCAGCTGTGGTGGCCACAATGGCACTAGACAGAGCAGCAGTGGCTGTGGGCTATGAACACCAGGCTGAGAGCCCTGTGGCCTGGCTGCCCCCAGTCTTGCACCTCCCCGCGAACACCCTGGAAAACATTGCCTACCTGGCACTGGCTGCCCTGCGGCCCTGGTCCCCACGGGCCTGGGCACCACCTCCAAAGCCATCTTGGCCCTGGCAGCCTTGGCCCACAGCCCCGTGCAGTGGGTCCAGATGGCCATCTGGGATCAGCAACTGATGCTCCCCATTTTCACTTGAGCTATGGTCTGGTGCCAGACAGCCAAGCAGGGCTGGAAGCTGGACCAGGCCTTGGCTACTGTGGCTGGCTCACTAGAGAGCTATTGGGTGGCACTGGGGCACACACAGGGCATTAAGGCAGCACTAGCCATTCATGTAATGGCTGTGGTAGCCAGAGCCTGGTGGCTGTAGCAAATCCAGGGAAATAGGGCCTTCAGGGTAGTGGCGCTGGCTGATTTTGCAGCCTGCAGGTGTGGGGTTCATAGGATTCCATGTAGCCGATGGCTGCTGGGCCCCCTTCTACAGCCTCAGTGGGTGCTTCTGGTCCAAAGTGTGTGATATGGCCCAGTTCCACTGTGTCTTTTTTTTCTTCACCCCTCTTGGAGCCAGGCAGGGCTATGGGGCCCTGAGCCACACCCCACAGCTGGCCGCATTGTGGGACTGGATGAACACAAATGTGTTACACCCCAGAGACAGCTGAATGCCTGTATCAGATAAGGGGCCCTGTTATACCGAGCCCTGAAGACTCCCTGCCCCGCCCCAGCAAGAGCTGCATCTTGGGACCAGAAAAGAGGCACTTTTATGCCTAGACCACCCCAGAGGCAGCTGGTCTCAAGACCAGACAAACACCAAGATGCTGCACTGCAGAGCTAGCTGCGTCACAGAACTAGGTGTGGGATCCCATTATACCCACCCGAGGTAGCTGAATTGCAGGACAGGATGAATCAGCAGCCCAACAAAGCACGCACCAGTCAGCTGCAGCTCAGGAGTGGAAGATTGGCCCTGTAGTCTCAGCCCCAACCCCAGAACCAGCCATACCCCAGTACTGGACAAGGAGTCCTTATACCCAGCCCTGAAGACCCACCCATGCGCCAGATGCATCTTGGGAAACAGACAAACACTAACCCACTACATCTCAGGACCAGACAAGGGGCCCTGTTCTACTGAGCCCTGAAGACCCACCCCAGAACCAGTTGCATCTTGAGACCGGACAAACAGTGGGACTGGACAAGGAGCCCCCACACTAGTACCCCAACATGCTGCACCCCAGGGCTAGCCATATCCTAGCACTGGGTGGGGAAGCCTGTTATACCCAGAAGCCCCCTCCCAGAGCCAACTGCAGTCTTCTGACCAAGTGAGGAGCCTGGCCTCCCCAGCCCCTACCCCAAAGCTAGCTACACCCAGAAACCCCACCCCAGAGGCCCCTACATCTTGGAACCAGACAAACCAATACCGCAACATGCTGTGCCCCAGAACCAGCTGCATGCAAGCATTGGACATGGGTCACCCATTCAACCTAGCCCCTCAACCCACCTGAGCCAGCTGCATTACAGCATCCCCTGGGAACCAGCCTTCACAGACTCAGCTGCCTCTGTGGGTCCTTGTTATACCCAGCCCCTTCCCCACCCCAGAGCCAGCTTCCTGGGAGGTTCCTATTATACCCAGCACCCACCCCAGAGAAAGCTGCGCGTGCCCAGAGAGAAGCTGCAGCCCTGGATTAAAAAATAAATAAAATCAAATCTACAAAACACTTTATTCTTTTTGGCCTTTCTTGGGGGGGGGATGGATTTGAGAAGGGGGAGACCTATACGACCCCCCCCCATAGCCCCCCAAAACCCGAGTCCTGGGAGGTGAGTGAGTGAGAACTGTGTCCATGGATGGGGGAACCTGGGACAACTCCTGGATGCCTGGGTTCCTCAGGGGTCAGGGGAAGAGGAACAAAGAGGGACCATGGTGTATGGCCCTGGAGAAGACCTGGGACTGTTAGGGGGCAGAGACAGCCTCAGGATGCCTAGGTTCCACAGTGGTACTGAAGAAAACTTAGCAGCTGGTGGGGGCTCCAAAAGTGTGTCAGCACTGAGAACTCCGTCCGTCAGGGACCAACGTCAAAGTCTTCACTCTCCTCAGGCAGCTGGGAGGGGACAGAGCCTGGTGGAAAAGAAGAGAATAGGTCAGAGCGGGGGGTGGGGAGCAGGGATCTCCAAAAGGGGCTGGGAGGAACTCACCATATGGGGGCCCCGAGTCCAGCACCCCCAGGCTGTCAAGGAGACCGTGGTCGTACAATTCCAAGCGCTCCATTATTCGGCGCCGGGCTGGGTTGATGATGACAGCAGGAGGTGGCAAGGGGCCTGCAGGAGAGAGATGGGAATGGGTCAGAGGTCACTGGGAAAAAAAGGCCAAGCTTGGGAAATGCAGGGTGCCATGGCCACAGTTAGTACGGGCTCAGCCAGCCCTGGGGTCAAAGGCATAAGAAGCAGGGTCTGAAGACACTGGTTCCTGTGGTCCTATACCACACAAGGTAGACTGTGGTATAAAAGGTAGCCAGGTGCAGGATGCAAGAAAACAGAAGTCAAACGGCACCGTGGCCCAGGTCAAGGCAAAGAGACGGGGTCATAAGCAAAGGTGCGATTGGGACATTGTCCCGGTGACCTCTGACCCAAAAGGATGAAGTTTGCAACCATGGAGTATTCTAATCATTGGGGGAGGGGGACCAGAGAACAAGACAAGCAGAGGCTGGAAAAGGTAAAGGTCACAGGGAAGTGCTAGGCACATCAAGGAGGTCAGGCACACCAGGGTAGCCTCTGGTCTACGGGCTGGACCTGGTCCTGGCCACAGGCGATGATCTGGTAAGGGGGCTCCAGGTCTTTGACCACCTGGGTGATAGCAATCATCGCTTGCTGGAATTCATCATCCAGCGCAGGGTGACAAGGGCCTGCAGCAAGGTGGTAGCCCTAGACTTCAAGAGGGCCAACTTCAACGAGTTGAGGAGATTGGTGGGAGAGACGCTGGGGTTCTCGAGGGCAGGGGAATTCAGTGCCCAAGATGAGTGGTCGTTCCTTAAGGAGACGATACTCAGGGCCCAAGGGGTGACGATCCCAACAAGAAGCAAGGGGGGGCAAGAGTGCCCAAAAGCCTCCCTGGCTCACCAAGGACATCTGGGAATGCCTGGTTGCCAAAAAGGCGGCGTACACCCGGTGGAAGGGGGGAGGCTATCTCCAAAGAGGAGTATACCTCCACTGCTCAGGCCTGTAGGGAGGCTGTTAGGAAGGCTAAGGTGGACATAGAGCTAGGTCTAGCGTCCAAGATCAAAGATAATAAAAAGTCCTTTTTCAAATATAGAGGGAGGATGAAGAAGTCACCGGGAAATGTGGGGCCCCTTCAAGATACGCTGGGCAATCTGGTGGTTGCACCAGAGAAGCAGACCTCTTTAACAAATTCTTCACCTCTTTTTTTGTGCAGGGACCGGGACTCCCCTACCGTGATTCAAGACAGACTTGAGGGGAACGCCCCAAGACCTAAGGTTGAGGAGGACTGGGTTAGAGTGCTTCTGGAAGGGCTGGACATGTTCAAATCAGCAGGTCCAGATGCTCTCCACCCCAAGGTGTTGAGGGAGCTAGCAGGGCTTATTGCAGGGCCCTTGGCACAGCTTTACAAGCGTTCGTGGTGCTCGGGCCAGGTGCCAGGTGATTTGAAGATAGCCAATGTGGTCCCCATCTTTAAAAAATGGAGGAGGGAGGACCCAGGCAACTATAGGCTTGTCAGTCTTACCTCAATCCTGGGGAAACTCTTTGAGAAGATCATCAAGGAGGCAGAAAGGGATCTTGCAGTCATCATTGATGAACGTGGGCCGACAACACGAGGTCACGGTTGGCAGGGCTAACCGGACCTTAATGCGTATCCACAGGTGCATCTCAAGTAGGGCCAAGGAGGTGATCCTCCCCCTCTACGCGACACTGGTCAGGCTGCAGCTGGAGTACTGTGTCCAGTTCTGGGCACCCCAATTCAAGAGGGATGTGGACAACATTGACAGGGTCCAGAGGAGGACCCACCCCCATGATCCGGGGACAGCAGGGCAGACCCTACAATGAGAGGCTACAGGACCTGAACCTGTTCAGCCTTCACAGGAGAAGGCCGAGGGGGGACCTGATGACTGTCTATAAACTCACTAGGGGGGGGACCAGAAGGGTTTGGGGGAGACCTTGTTTCCCCTAGCGCCCCCCGGGATAACAAGGAATAACGACCACAAGTTGTTGGAGAGTAGGTTTAGATTAGACATCCGTAGGAACTACTTCACAGTTAGGGCAGCTAGGATCTGGAACTGACTTCCAAGGGAAGTGGTGCTGGCTCCTACCCTGGGGGTCTTTCAGAAGCGGCTTGATGCCTACCTGGCTGGGGTCATTTGAGCCCAGTTTTCTTCCTGCCCAGGCAGGGGGTCGGACCTGAAGATCTACAAGGTCCCTTCTGACCCTACTTCTATGATTCTATGGTCAAAGGTTGCTAGGATAACAGGACAGAGATCAAAGGGCTCAGGTCAAGGCGGGGGAGGGAGAGCGGGGAGGTCAAAAGCAGAGAGATCCAAGTGCACCGGAGTTAGGGATCACACCCAGCAGGACTCACTGGAGAAGCTGTCTCCCACTCCTGGCAGGCTGTCGTCACTCTCCTCTGGCTGGTTCTGGGGGTCCACAGGGGAGCGGCAGGGGGGCAGGGCAGGCTCCCAGCACAGGGCCTGCTGCAGGCGCTCCAGCTCCTCATACACCTGGGAGGCAGCGAGTTCAACTGGTGAAGAGAACCCAGGTGTTCGGGCTCCCAGGACCCCCTGCTCCCCACCTAAAGAACCCAGGGGTCTGGGCTCTCCGCCCAGGGAGGCCATACCTGGTCCATGTGGGGGCGCTGCTTGCTGCGGCGATGAAGGCACTGAGCCGCCAGGTGGCCGAGGGAGGTGCTCAGTAGAGGGGGGCAGGGCCCAGCCTGGGAGTCTGCGTAGGCCTGACCCAGCCTGGTGCCCACATCCCTGTCACCCACCCCGGACTCCTCCTCTTCTGCAGCCACCAGGTCTTTCTGTGGGGGAGGGACACTGAGAGGAGGGCTGCAGGTTGGGAGTGAAGGTGACCATGGGGAGAAGGGTGGGGATGGACTGCAGGTCTGGAGGGAGGGGTCGTTTCTCACCAAGTACTTGGTCTGTCCACGTTCGTCCGTCTCCAGTGCCCTCCGACCTGTCAGTGCCTCCAGCAGCACCTAGTTGGGGAGGGGAAGGGAGGGGCTGGGCTGTTAAGCAAGGGTGGGGGTCAGCTCATGCCTCCAGCCCTGTGTTGGGGTGGGACTGAGCCTTGCGGGATTAAGACAAGGGTTCCCTGCCCATCCTCCTGGGACTGCAGGGTGGGGGCGATCCACAGCCCACCCCACAAGGGATTGTGTATACCCTGGGTACTGGACTTTGAGAGCAAAGGATTATGGGTAGTTCTCCAAAGGACTCCGAGTAACAGGGTTTCAGGCAAGGAAGATTAGGCTTGTGCGTAGGACCCACCCTAAAGGCACTCTGGGTAATGGAGTTTGGAGCAATACAGCTAAAAGATTGTGGGTAGAACCATCCCAAAGGTACTCTGGGTAGCGAGGTTTGGAGCAGGGGAGTGAAGGATTGCAGGTAGGACCCACTCAAAAAAAACCACTCTGGTTAGTGAAGTATGGGGGAAGAGAACAAGGGATTGTGGGTATGACATCCCCAAGGCAATCTGTGTAATGGCATCTCAGAGAGGAACAGAGGATTGTGGGTATGATGCTCCCCCAAAAGGCTCTAGGTAATGGGCCTGAGGCAGGAGCATGCTGGGGGTGGGGGTGGAGGGGCCTCACCACACCAAAGCTGTAGGTGTCAATGGCAGGGGAGAGTGCACCAGTCTGCACGTACTCGGGGGGCAGGTAGGCCAGGGTCCCCCGCACTGTGCCCGTACGGCCCAGGGTCCCGCTGCGGCCCCCCCGGCCTCCCCCCACTCCCACCCGTGCCAGCCCGAAGTCACTCAGCCGGGGGGTCAGTGTCTGGTCCAGCAAGATGTTTGAGCTGGAGGGAAGAAAATGGGTGAGACACAGTCCCAGGATACCCCCCCCCCCCGGGACCCAGGGCCCCTCTAGCCCCACCATGTTCCTCATTCCTAACCCCCAGCCCCCACCATCTCAACAATGCCCCTCACTCCTGACCTGCAGCACTCACCTCTTGACATCCCCATGGATGAGACTGGGCACGTCCTGATGGAGGAACTGGACGGCCCGGGCAGCCCCCACCAGTACTGACAGGCGCTGAGGCCACGTTAATGGAGGACGCCCGTCCTGGGCGGGGGGGCACAGAAGAGGGGAGGATTTGGGTGGGGGTGGCACCAGCAGCTGCCCCTGCCCCTTCCACACCCACTCCAGTCAGGACTCAGTCCCACATACCTCCCCAGTGCCCCTCACTCCCAACCTGAAGCTCTCCCCCTGCCAACAGCCCCAAGGGGCTTCTCACTCCTAACCCCCACAGTGGGGGCTACCTGTGGGCGTAGCCGGTCATCCAAGGACCCGTTGGGCATGAAGACGTAGACAAGGCAGAAGTGGCCCCTCTCAGCACAGAACCCAGCCAGTTCCACAATATTCGGGTGCCGGTACCTGGGAGGGGCCCTGGCATTAGCCCAGTGGTGCGTCTTATTCCTGATCCCCATCCCCCCCCAAACATAGCCCCACGGTGCCCCTCACCCCCAACTCCCAGTCCCCCCTACCCCTATCATAGCTCTGCAGTACCCCTTACTCCCAACCTACAGCCCCCCTCACCGCGAGAGCTTCTCCAGCTCTGTGATGAAACTGTTATGGACAAGGTTCCAGTTCAGCTCTGCATCCTGGAGGGCAGGGGGGAAGTTAGTGAGAGAACAGGGGTCACCCTGACTTGGCACTACAAAGGGCTGGGGGGGCGGCGGAGGGGAAAGGAAGAGCAGAAGATGCAAAGGATTCAGGGAAAGATAATGGCTGGTGCAAAGGATGCTGAAAAAAGGGCCTATAGTGGGCAGAGAGGAAGGTCAAGGACTAGAGAGTGCAAAGGATGCTGGGGAGAGGACAGAAAAGAGAGAAGCAGGCAACACAAAGGATGCCTGTAAGGGGCCTATGGATTGGGGAGAAGGTAGAAGATGGGACAGCGCAAAGCATACTGGGAAGCCCCCCCTCACCTCCTTGAGGCGCTTGACAGCACAATCCGTGTGCCGCAGCCGGGCACGGTAGACACAACCAAAGCCACCTTCGCCCACCTTGTGCTGCTCTGAGAAACCGCCCGTGGCCTCCACCAACTCTGCCAGGGGCCATGCCAGGAGACGTGGGGACCCTGGGGGTGGCAGGACCTGGCGGCACAAACACATAGCCCACTCCCTTCCCTGCAGCACAGCATTCTGGGGAATAGGGCAGCAAAGAACTTTCTCCCCTGTCCCAGACCCCATTTACCCAAAGGATTATGGGTAGGACCCACCCCAAAGGACTCTGGGTAATACACCCAGAGCAGGACAGCAAAGGATTATGGTTATAACTGCCACGCCCCACCCCCACCCCCTCCCCAGGATTCTGGGTCAGGAACCCAGGGGCTGAGAGCGCAAAAGATTCAGGAACAGCCCTCCTGAGCCAGAGAGCAAGGCATTCTGGGTACAGCACCCTCACCCCCACCTCTCCTAAAGAACCCAAGGGCCATCCCCCCACACCCCTATTTAGCCCCTCCCCCTTACCTGGCTGAGAAGAGTCACAGGGTCAGGAGAGGTCACGGTGTCATGGCTGCTGGTGCCGAGGAGGCTGCGGGGTGGGGGGCCAGGGAGGGGCTTCGAGAGGCAGGATGGCTCTGGGGGGCAGGGCAGGAAGTCACTGAGGGGGCAGGGCGTGACCCCCACCCTCCCCCAAACCCTGAGAGGCAGTTACCTGGAAGGGGTGGGACTGGCACGGGCAGAGCCTTTGGCGGG